TCTGACTCCTCCAAAATGTAACTACAAATAGTCCCTACTGTTGATGGGAAGTCTGATAAAATCGATTAACATACATTTTCTATGTAACCTGAATTATATAGCATATTCCAATAAAGCTACAGGAAAAACATTCAGAAAATCATAAATATATTTACTGTAAGCAGATGTAGATTATCATAAAGGTCTTCATCCTGGTTGTCTTCATATTGAGCAGGCTGAGGAGAAAGAGAAGGGATTGGTCTTGCTGTCTCTGATGGCAGAGGCGGAAGAAAATCTGTGTATGTGGACTCACGCAGTTCAAATCCCTGTTGTTCAAGGGTCAACTGTACTAGCCTAGCTTAGAGCAGTTCATTTCTAGTTATATTCTAGAGGCTTTATGACTGCAAGACTAGTTTACCCAGAGAGATGGTAATAAAAATCCCTGACTTAAAAGTGGGACTATCATTTGGGCCGAAAGAAAACATTAAATGCCTGAATTGTTTTCTATTGTCTCATCCCCCAAATACTCCCTGCTGTCTTCCAAGTTTGCACTGATGTGGAAAAAGCGTTCATTAGAACTTCCATTTTCCCAAAAACCAATGATTTAAACAGCAGTTACATTTTCTGGTTTCATTTAATACAATCTCAGTGCAACAGCATGTTCCTATTGCATAAGTCAGCAAACTCCCCCCACCTCCCTTTTTAGTTACTGTGAGTTAAGAATCGTTTTTATATTTTTAAGTAGGAAAAAAGGCAAAAGAAAAATATTTCATGACATCAAAATTATATGAAATTCAAATTCTGTTGTCCATAAAATTTTATTAGAACATAATGGTTTACATATTGTTAATGGTTAATAGTTTACATTATTGTTTACCACTCCTTTTGCAATACAAGCTGAGTGGTTCCAATAGAGCGCATATGGCCCTCAAAGCCTAAAATATTTACTATATAGCCCTTAACAGGAAAAAGTTGTCAATCTTTTTTTTTTTGAGGTGGAGTTTCTCTCTTCTTGCTTGGGCTGGAGTGCAGCGATGTGACCTCAGCTCACTGCAATCTCCACCTCCTGGGTTCAAGCGATTCTCCTGCCTCAGCCTTCCAAGTAGCTGGGACTCCAGGCACGCACCACCATGCCCAGCTAATTTTTTGTATTTTTAGTAGAAACAGGGTTTCAACATGTTGGCCAGGATGGTCTCGATCTCTTAACCTTATGATCTGCCCACCTTGGCCTCCCAAAGTGCTGGAATTACAGGTGTGAGCCACCAGGCCAAATCTGTCAATCTTTATTACTTTTGCCAGAAATTTAATACTCGAAGGTCCAATATAAGGCACAGTATTATAAAAATTGTATTTCAAAGCTTTTGATACGGCAATACACAAAAGCATATGAAAAGTAAATGTAGGGCAGGTGCAGTGGCTCACACCTGTAATACTAACACTTTGGGAGGCTGAGGTGGGCAGAACACTTGAGTCCAGGAGTTCAAGACCAGCCTGGAAAACATGGCAAAGCTTCAACAACAAAAAATTAGCTGCACGTGTTAGCACACACCAGTAGTCCCACCTACTCAGGAGTCTGAGGTAGGACTGCTTGAGCCCAGGAGGTGGATATTGCAGTGAGCCGAGATCATGCCACACACTCCAGCTTGGGTGACAGAGCAAGATCCTGTCTCAAAAAAAATATGTTAAATTATAACTGATTATCACACAGATTAAAATATAGCTGTTTGTAGAGTTGATGTGCATATTTACATCTGGTTAAATATGCAGACTCCCTAGCTTGTTTTTACAAGCAAAGAGTCCTGGCTTTCAGCGTGTAAGCTGAAATTATGCAATGTTATCTTAATCTATGCAAAAATTTATGATTGTTCTATGACTTTAAAATTTGCTAGATTAAAAACTCTCCTGGCCAAGCACTATGGGAGGCAGAGGCGGTCAGATTGCTTGAGCTCAGGAGCTCTGGACTGGCCTGGGCAACACGGCAAAACTGTCTCTAATAAAAATACAAAAAATATTAGCTGGGTGTGGTGGCACACACTTATGGTCCCAGCTTCTTGGGGGGCTGAGGTGTGGGGATCGCTTAAGCCCGGGAGGCAGAGGTTGCAGTGAGCCAAAATCTCACTACTGTTCTCCAGCCTTGGTGACAGAGTAACACACAGTCTCAAAACAAAACAAACCTCTCCTGCTGTTGGCTATAATTTTTTTAATTGTACTTTTTGGCCGGGCAAGGTGGCTCACGCCTGTAATCCAAGCACTTTGGAGGCCAAGGCAGGCGGATCACCTGAGGTCAGGAGTTCAAGACCAGCCTGACCAACATCGTGAAACCCTGTCTTAAAAAAAATAAAAAATAAAATTGTACTTTTTTCTAATAATGTAAAACTAATATTTAGTATACTAATTTTAGTAATTTAAACTATTAGAAACATTGAAACACTAAAATATTTCTTTACAATTTATCAAGATTTGAACAGTGCTTGTCTTATCACGTAACTTACAAGTGAGCATCTTTCCTATGCCTTGGCAAATTGTCACTACTCTTTCCTAACTTTGGGTCAGCTTCCAAAGGTTTATCCTTTGCATTTTTTTTTTTTTTTTTTTGAGACGGAGTTTTGCTCTTGTTACTCAGGCTGGAGTGCAATGGCGCGATCTCGGCTCACCGCAACCTCCGCCTCCTGGGTTCAGGCAATTCTCCTGCCTCAACCTCCTGAGTAGCTGGGATTACAGGCATGCACCACCATGCCCAGCTAATTTTTTGTATTTTTAGTAGAGACGGGGTTTCACCATGTTGACCAGGATGATCTTGATCTCCTGACCTCGTGATCCACCCGCCTCGGCCTCCCAAAGTGCTGGGATTACAGGCTTGAGCCACCGCGCCCGGCCTATCCTTTGCATTTTCAATGTACTGAAGTATCTGAGAGCTCCTTTAATGTGAAGTTTTTTTGCTGGCATTGCTTCCTGAGACATGGTCATTCTTTACATCACAACCACTTTATGTCTGTAAATTTGACTTTGCTAAGTTCCTCTGCTACGTTATCCAGAGCTGCCTCTTGAACAGCAGCAGTGTCAACATTCCCACAGTCAGCTCTATCTTCTGTAACATTCTATCTGAAGCTTTCAGCTTTAAGAGATAGCTTAACATCAATTCATGCCAACTTCTGAAATGATGAACCCACCTTTTACTCGTAGTAATATATTCTTTCAGTCTTTTTCTAATTACCATTTTCTTTCAATACAGTAACTATATCACTTTAGCCTGAATGCTGGTCAAACTGATTGGAATTTGTTTTTTATCAGTCTTCAAGTAATGTTCCATTTCAATCACAAACAGCTTTCTGTTTTTAGTGCAATGAAGCAACTTTACCTTTTTACATTTATCAGACTTTTTCAATAGGTTTGTTTTAGTTTCACACAGGTCTGGGTCTCAGCCTATCTTTGCTGTCCCCACTTTCAAATCTTTTAATCACATCCAATTTCACTTCCAGCATTTCACTTTTCTTTGCTGCCCTGTCCTTTGCTGACCAATTACCTCTTTTGATCATCCATTTTTATGGTCACAAGGTTAACACTACTATGGGGTTAAGGAGGCAACACTACTGCGCACTTCCTGCTTTACTATCTGTGCATCAACTGAACAGATGATCAGTAATGAATCACAAACTTTGAAAGTAATGTAACTGGCATATGCATATGGCATATCATAATGCCTTTTTTTTTTTTTTTTCACAATGACTTGTGGACTAAAGAGCTAGCAGCAGAATTTATGTATGTTTTCTCAATACTGTGGTAATGGAAATATTAACCACATTGTTGGACTGGTTTAACTGCGGTAATTCATATTTATGCATATTGGAACTGTGCAAAGCAAGGACTGCCTGTATCTAAAATGAGAAGAACTCCTTATTAGTTCACAAAACAGTTAACTTTTAATCCAATTTAGTTAACTACTATCAACGTGGTGAAACCCCGTCTCTACTAAAACTACAAAAAATTAGCTGGGCATGGTGGTGCGCGCCTGTAATCCCAGCTACTCAGGAGGCTGAGGCAGGAGAATTGCCTGAACCCAGGAGGCGGAGGTTGCGGTGAGCCGAGATCGCGCCATTGCACTCCAGCCTGGGTAACAAGAGCGAAACTCTGTCTCGAAAAAAAAAAAAAAATTGCTCACTTGAGTTACAAGAACGTTTGCAGAGAATTTAATGGGTAATTCTTCATATTAGGATCTGCATAGCACAAAACCATTCTAGTTTTTTTTTTAGAGACAAGGTTTTGCTGTCACCCAGGCTGGAGTGTAGTAACAGTGATCACAGCTCACTGTAGCTTCAACATTCTGGGCACAAGTGATCCTCCCACCTCAGCCTCCCAAGTAGCTAGGACTTACAGGCACACACCACCATGCCTGGTTAATTATTTTTTGTAGAGACAGGTGTCTTTTTGTTGCCCAGACTGGTCTGGAACTCCTGGCTTCAAGGGATCCTTCTGCTTTGGCCACCCAAAATGCAAAGATTATAGGCATGAGCCTCCATGCCCAGTTGACATTCTTTCAGGAATTCAGATCCCCTCCCCTCATTTCAGTAGTTTTTAGGTCCACAAAGAGTAAAGTTGTAGACAAAACAATCACAAGGCACATGACTGTTTATATGTAACTTTTTCCATAGCAGCCAGTACCACGTTTACACCTCAGTAAAACAGTAGCATCCATTCCATGAATGTTGGTTTAGTTTGTTTCTGTTTTTTTTTGTTTTTTTTTTTTGTTTTTTTTTTTTTTTGTGAGATGGAGTTTCGCTCTTGTTACCCAGGCTGGAGTGCAATGGCGCGATCTCGGCTCAGGCAATTCTCCTGCCTCAACCTCCTGAGTAGCTAGGATTACAGGCATGTGCCACCATGCCCAGCTAATTTTTTGTATTTTTAGTAGAGACGGGGTTTCACCATGTTGACCAGGATGGTCTCGATCTCTGGACCTCGTGATCCACCCGCCTTGGCCTCCCAAAGTGCTGGGATTACAGGCTTGAGCCACCGCGCCCGGCTAGTTTGTTTCTGAATGCATTTATTTCACAAATTTGTTTAAGGGCTATAAACCAAATTTGTATCAACTTTTATGTTTGTACATATTTACAAAATAGAAAATTAAGTCAGCATTAAGTCAGTATAAACAGTCACAAGAATTTTTCCCCTCTACAAAGGGTGTATATTCGAGGAGACTTCAAAAAGTTTCTGGAAAATGGAATTAAAAGACAAAAATATAAACTATATTTCTGAACATTAGTTCTATGGAGTTCAAGTCACTTGTAAGTGATGATACCAGCTATTCAGTCCATCCATAAATAACTGAGAGTTCTAGGAATTTAACCACATCAATGCAGTTTTTTTTTCTTTTTTTTACATTATTAACTGAAAAAAAATGTACAGCTTTAAAAAAATTTTTTAAGATTAGGAAACAAAACATCAGAAGGTGCCAAATCAGGACTATAGGGTGGATACCTAGTGATCTGCCATCAAAACTCTCGCAGAATTGCCCTTGATGAGAGAGATGAGTAGAAGCATTGTGGAGAACAACTCTCTGGTGAAGCTTTCTCGGACATTTTTCTGCTAAAGCTTTGGCTAAGTGTCTCAAAAACACTCCTAATAAGCAGATGTGACCATTCTTTGGCCCTACAGAAAGTCAATAAGCAAAATACCTTGAGCATCCAAAAGCTGTTGTCATGACCTTTGCTCTCAACCAGTCCACTTGTGCTTTGACTGAACTACTTCCATAGCTTGGTAACCATTGCTTTAATTGTGCTTTGTCTTCAGGATTGCACTGTTAAAGCCATGTTTCATCTCCTGTTACAATTTTTCAATGAAATGCTTCAAGATCATGACCCCACTTATTTAAAATTCCCATTGAAAGCTCTGCTCCTGTCTGTAGCTGATCTGGGTGCAATGGTTTTGGTACCTATCGGGTGTAAAGTTTGCTAAATTTTTCTAGTCAGAATTGTGTAAAGTGAACCAACTGAGATGTCTATGGTGTTGACTGTCGTTTCTGCTATAAACTGTTGGTTTTCTGCAGTTAGGCCATGAACTAGATTAATTTTTTTTTCTCACAAACTGATGTGGATGATCTGCCACTGTGGGCTTCTTCAAGATTACCTTATCCATTCTTAAAATGAGTTATCCATTTGTAAACTGATTTCTTTGGGGCATTGTCCCAATAAACTTTTCATAAAGTATCAATTAGTTCACAATTCCCCCACCCAAGCATCAACATAAATTTGATGTTTGTTCTTGCTTCAATTTTAGCAGAATTCGTGTTGCTCTGACAGAGCCTCTTTTCAAACTGATGTCTTATTCTTCTTAGTGCTTCAAACTAGATCCTGTTCAGATGTGTTATAACAAGTTAGTAGGAGTTTATTTTGGTACAAAAAATTTTGAAATCCATGCACAGTTTTTTCATGATATGCATTTTCCACAAACTTTTTCAAGACCCCTCATATTTCTTGGATTTTTTGTTTGTTTGTGTTTATTTATTTATTTTTTTGAGACAGAGTCTCACACTGTCACCCAGGCTATAGTGCAGTGGTGCAATCTCAGTTCACTGCAATCTCCGTCTCCTGGGTCCAAGCAATTCTCTTGCCTCAGACTCCCGAGTAGCTGAGACTACAGGCTTGCATCACCATGCCCAGCTAATTTTTTTTTTTTTTTGTATATTTTTAGTAGAGACGGGGTTTCACCATGTTGGCCAGGATGGTCTAGATCTCCTGACCTCGTGATCCGCCCACCTTGGCCTCCCAAAGTGCTGGGATTATAGGTGTGAGCCACCACACCCAGCCAACCCCTCATATTTCTAAAATTTGTGAAATACCCATAATAACAAGCCTAATTAATGACAGAACTAGTATTAAATTTAAGATTCCTAGTTTCTTATCACATTCTTATCTACTGTTCCTGAACAAAGCTTAAGTTGTAGGATAGTCATCCATTGGCATATCTAAGTCATTTATAAACCCTGGAACGTATGATCCAAGAATATCAGGGGCTGAAAGGATATCATTATTTCTAAGAAAAGGTAACTATCAGCCATGTGCGGTGGCTCACAACTATAATACTAGCACTTTGGGAGCCAGAGGCAGGTGGATCACTTGAGGCTGGAAGTTTGAGACCAGTCTGGCCAACGTGACGAAACCCGGTCTCTACTTAATAAAAAAATTATCTGGGCATGGTAGCATACGCCTGTAATTCCAGCCACTTTGGAGGCTGAGCCATGACAACTGTTTGAACCTGGGAGGCAGACTGCAGTAAGCAGAGATTGTGCCGCTGTACTCCAACCTGGGCAACAGAGCAAGAATGTGTCTCAAAAAAAAAAAAAAAAAAAAAAAAAAAAAAAAAAAAAAAAAAAAAAAGGGAAAAGAAAACTACCTAAGTTTTAAAAGCTCCACCCCCTCCAATGCCTTTCCTGAATTGAATCTGTCAATTTTTTTTTTTTTTTTGAGATATAGTCTTGCTCTGCTGCCAGGTGCCAGGCTGGAGTGCAGTGGCGCAATCTTGGCTCACTGCAATCTCCGCCTCCTGGGTTCAAGCAATTCTCCTGCCTCAGCCTCCCAAGTAGCTGGGACTATAGGCACACGCCACCATGCCCAGCTAATTTTTGTATTTTTTTAGTAGAGACGGGGTTTCACCATGTTGGCCAGGATGGTCTCGATCTCTTGACCTCATGATCCGCCCGCCTCAGCCTCCCAAAATGTTGGGATTACAGGTGTGAGCCACCATGCCCGACTGAATCTATCAATTTAAAAAATACTATTTTGAAATAATACTTATTATCTTTAAAAGCTAGAAGAGTAAGGAAAATAAATTTTTAATTCAGAGTACAGTATCCACATTAGGCTAAAATGAATGTCAGTTTTCTGCTCATATCTGACATTTTCTGTGTTCTTTTATCAAAATAAACGTGTAAGTCCCATACCTTATTATATAAATCTTCAACTTCTTAATCAAATAAATATGACAAATGATGTTCTCTAAGAAAAACGCCCTTCAACTTTACTCCTAAAACAGAAAACATTCAGAAAAAAAATCATTGTGCAGAAACACATCATATATACAAGCCTTATCATTTTCTTTTCCTGTTATGTCCTCATCCACATACATTAATCACAACAAATCATGATGTGAACAGCAGTGGAAAAAGTTTAATCATTGGACATTTATTTCTTCTTATTTTGAACTTCAGCTCTAGTAATAAGATTCTCATTACTTAGCCCTTTACAACAGATGCATATATTTATCTAATGCAGAAAAGTTAAGACCTCCAATTTTACTATAATTGGAAAAAAAAATTCAGAACAAAGATATGTCAAGTGTATCACTTTATCGAATTTGTTAACCTGCTATAACCTGACAAAAGGGTAGGTGTTCAACAAGTGAGCTACAACCCTAAAAAGCAAGAAGTCTGTATCTGCTTTCATAGGGTTATTAGAAGAAATAAATACTGTTTAAGAAAAACAATTCTTTTTTTTTTTTTTTTTTTTTCTTTTTGAGATGGAGTCTCGCTCTGTTGCCCAGGCTAGAGTGCAATGGTGTGATCTTGGCTCACTGCAACCTCCACCTCTCAGGTTCAAATGACTCTCCTGCCTCAGCCTCCTGAGTAGCTGCGATTACAGGCATGCACCACCACGCCTGGCTAATTTTTGTATTTTTAGTAGAGACGGGGTTTCACCATGTTGGTCAGGCTGGTCTTGAACTCCTGACCTTATGATCCACCTGCCTCCACCCCCTAAGGTGTTGAGATTACAGGCGTGAGCAACCATACCTGGCCTCTTTTTTTTTGAGACGAAGTCTTGCTCTGTTACCCAGGCTGGAGTACAGTGGCCCATCTTGGCTCACTGCAACCTCTGCCTCCTGGGTTCAGTGATTCTCCTGCCTTGGCCTCCCAAGTAGTTGGGGTTACAGGCACACGCCACCACACCCAGCTAATTTTTTAATTTTTAGTAGGGACGAGGTTTCACCATGTTGGCCAGGCTGGTCTCAAACTCCTGAGCTCAGGTGATCCACCCACCTCAGCCTCCCAAAGTGCTGGAATTACAGGTGTGAGCTACCACGCCTGACCATGAAAACCAGCTCTTTCTATATACTAGATATAAAAAGCTTAGCAGCCTGAGCAACAAGGCAAAACCCCATCTCTACCAAAAATACAAAAAAATTAACCAGGTGTGGTGGCACATGCCTGCAGTCCCAGCTACTTAGAGGAGCTGACTGGAACTAGAGTACAGCTAGAAATTAAGTATCTACTCATAAAATTTTATTTGGGGTGGTACTAACTTGGAAAGTTGAACTTTCTAAGAATTTTTCAAAGAATATTGTCCAATTTCTTCTGTGCAGTTATAAAACTATTTGCCATAGGATGAAATAAAGAAAGGTACAGACAAACAGCATCATTGAAGGAGTTTGACCTTTTTCCCCAAAGCTTGATTTTTATCCAATATGATGAATATATTTTTACTAAATACTTCCTTCTCTTTTCCTTCTGATGCTTCCACCTCTACCTCCCATAGACTTCAGCTCCTCATCAGCTAAATATAGACCTTGTCAAGCAATCAGACTGTTCCTAATTGGCAGAATACTAATTAGTGCCTGAGATTTATGATCTTTTGAGTCTTCTTGTTTTCTTTTCATCACATCTTAAATGTTCTGTTTGAAAAAAAAAAACACTCCCCCCTTTCCTTTAAGTCTTAGCACTGCTTCTGATAGTTGGAAACCACTTGTCTAATAACAGAAGCATTACATATAAAACAAAGTATAACTAGTTTTGGAGCATATTAGGGTAGTTGCCCTCCATATCAGGTTTGATGCTGAGAAGACATTCCCAAGTTCGCATGAGATTCTGGAAGTAAAAATCATTATGTAACAAATAATGATATAATAATTTCAAAACTCCATGGCTTTCTGAAACGAAAGACAGAACTCAAACAATGAAAAATTCAGCAAGACAAAAGGGTAGGTGCTCAACAAGTGAGATAACAACCCTAGAAAGCAAAGAGTCTGTATTTGCTTTCATAGAGTTATGAGAAATAAATATTGCTTAAGAAAACCAACTCTTTCTACACACTATATATATAAAGCTTAGCAGCCTGGGCAACATGGCAAAACCCCATCTCTACCAAAAACAAAAAAAAAATAGCCACGTGTGGTGGCACACACCTGGGGTCCCAGCTATTTAGGAGGCTGAGGTAGGAAGTTTGCTTGAGCTTGGAAGACAGAGGTTGCAGTCAGCTGAGATTGCACCACTGCACTCCAGCCTGGGTGACAGACTGAGACCCCATTTCAAAAACATAAAATAAAAAAATAAAAAGCTCAGCATTGGCCGGGCGTGGTTGCTCATGCCTGTAATCCCAGCACTTTGGGAGGCCAAGGTGGGCGGATCACTGGAGGTCAGGAGTTCGAGACCAGCCTGGCCCACAGTAACTGGTCAATAAATAAATATTAGTTGTTGTTATTCTTTCCAAGTGGCCAATTAATGAGATTCGACACCATAAAATGGGAAATTAGGTTTTATCAAAGCCTTTATAAATGTTTTCCACTTGGACAATCCTCCATTTCCAACTCACTGCTATAGTTCCACTTAATACATTTAAAATAGAAAGATATACTACCTTCCCTGCATATTTTGAATAATTATCTTCCAAGACCTGTGTATCTTTTCCCGTCACCTCTGAGGGTACAATTCCTGAAAAGAGATATTTTTTTCAGTTTTTTTTTGTGCAATAGTCAATGCCTTTGCAAATAACACTATCTTTAATACAGCTTACATATCCTCATTGGAGTATTTAATAATCACAGCGGTTCATTATGTGAACAGCAGTGAAAAGGTTTAATCACTGGATATGAAGTTACTAGAAGCAGCAACGATATAACCAAATGACCAAATTGAGAACTTCTATGTCAACAGTAAAGTTAAAAATCACAATGACAACAAAAAAGCATATAAAAGTTATTAACAAATGTAAAGATACAAAAATACAACTAAGAAAAAAAAGATTCTATCTATAAAGGATTACTTATTTCCTATCCAGAAGGAACAATTTAGAGCAGTGACCCCTTTTGACTATTGTAAATTAGTTGCCTTACTTTAAGTAAATTTGTTCTGATAAAAGCAGTTTTCAGAAACTCATTTGAAATTAATAATTAAAGCAATGTTGTCAAAATAATATGAGAAACACTGTTTCATCTTTTCATCTTTAAGAAAGGCACACAGTTGCAATCCAATTAAACAGGAAAGAAAACAGCCCTCATTTCAGATGCTGAACTGGCAGCAGTACTTTCTTTTCTTTTTTTTTTTTGAGAAGGAGTTTTGCTTTTTGGAAGGAGTTTTGTTCTCCAGGCTGGAATGCAATGGGGCAATTTCGGCTCACCGAAACCTCCACCTCCCAGATTCAAGCAATTCTCCTGCCTCAGCCTCCGGAGTAGCTAGGATTACAGGCATGCACCACCATGTCCGGCTACCCTTGTATTTTTAGTAGAGACGGGGTTTCGCCATGTTGGTCAGGCTGGTCTCGAACTCCCAATCTCAGGGGATCCACCCACCTCGGCCTCCCAAAGTGCTGGATTACAGACATGAGCCACTGCGCCTTGCCGGCAGCAGTACTTTCAACTCTACCTTAAAAAAAATGGCAAGTGAATGCCTCTGTCTGCAAACTTTTGAGTCCTTAAAAAAAGGCAAACACCACAATGAGACAACCACTTCACACCCACAAAAATGTGGAGAAACTGGCAGCCTCATCCTCTGCTGGTGGGAATGTAAAATGGTGCAGCCACTTGGGAAAATAGTCTGGCAGTTCCTCAAGTTAAACACAATTATCTTATGACTCACCAATTCTACCCTTACGTGTGGAAAATGAAAACATTTGTCCACGCAAAAACTTGTACACAAATGTTCAAAATAGTCAAAAAAAATTAGAAACAATGTAAATGTCCACCAACTGATGAATGGATAAACAAAATCTGCTATATCCATACAATGGAATATGATTCAGCAATAAAAAATAAAGTACCAGGCCTGGTTCGGTGGCAAACGCCTGTAATCCCAGCACTTTGGGAGGCTGAGGCAGGAGGATAACCTGAGGTCGGGAGTTTGAGACCAGCCTGATACAACATGTAGAAACCCGGTTTCTACTAAAAATACAAAATTAGCTGGGCATGGTGGCACACGCCTGTAATCCTAGCTACTAGGGATGCTGAGGCAGGAGAATCGCTTGAACCTGGGAGGAGGAAGTTGCGGTGAGCCAAGGTCGCACCATTGCACTCCAGCCTGGGCAACAAGAGCGAAATTCCATCTCGAAAATAATAAATAAATAAATATATAAAGTACTGACACATGCTATAAGATGGATGAACTCTGAAAACATTCCAAATGAAAGAAGTCAGTCACAAAGACCATATATTAGTTCATAATTCCATTTACATGAAGTGTGCAGGGCAGACACAGGCACACAGAAAGTAAATTAGTGGTTGCTGAAGCCGGGTGGTGGAATATTTGGAGGTATTGCTAATAAGAATGAAGTTTCTTTTTGAAGTGATGAAAATATTCTACTATGATTGTGACTGTTGCACAACTCTGTTAATATACTAAAACTCCCTGAATTGTACGCATTAAACCAGTTGGTTGTATGAGAATTATATCTGAATAAAACCGTTACAAAAATATGACAACTAGTTTCTTCCTTAAAGATAGCTAAAAACAATGTTATTTTTATTCAGCCTCTTTGAGTACTAGGAAAAGGCCCTAAGAATCCAACCAACTTACAGTATTTAAGTCCGGTTCCTACTCTTTGCACACATTTTACAACCAAAAAGTATTCGCCTTGCACATCTCCCAGGGACCAGTTTTTCCAGAGTTCCTGGACTATCTATCCTTAGGCCATGTGACTTTTAAGGAAACATAAGCAAAACCTATTGATTCCATTCTGAGAAGACATAAGCATATTATAATGGAAAACTGATGTGAATAATTCCTTAATATGTATCCTTTCGGCTGTAAATCTGGACAAAAACACAAAGGGGAAAAAGAAATCTTGTATAGCCCTGGATATCTGGAATTATTTTTGTGTGCTATACCAAGAAATGGAAAAGTTGTAAACCATTCTGTTTTCTGTATGCTGAGGATCTCCTCAGAGACAAAAACACATTGGCCCGTTTTCTTCTAAGCAAATTGAAATCTCTTCCTTAAACATAGAGCTTAATTAAGACATTGTTCTAAGCTCTTTCTCCTGAAAGCTATTCCTAATGCCTCATTCCCAACCAAAAGTACTTCATTGCCCCTTGTCCCCTGCCCCTATTGGTACTGACGAGCCCCAAGAACCTTACCTTATTTCCTTCATTGTGGCAAAGTGTTTCAGAAAAGGGTTCTTTGAGTTAAAAGTCGGCGTATCCTATTTGACTCCTGCTCTCGGAATGGTTGGCCGAGAGCTTCCCCGTTATCTCCGCATCGGAAAGCTACAAGATAAAGCGCAAGAACACGACACACATCTCAGTAAATCACGTATTTTGGGCCCGACTCTGTCTTCAACATACCTAGTGCACCGCGTTTTATCCCTCTTCCATGCCTCTTCCTCCCGATATCCTCCAGTGCCAGAGACCGCACCCGCAGACTCATTGGCAGGTTTCCCGATTCGCCTCAATTTTTGTCCTGCCTCTCTGCTTCGCATTTTCAGGCTTGGCCTCATAAGAAGGACGATGACGCCGGATTGTGCCAGAATGGATGAAAACCGGAGGAAAACGAACCAGTTGCAGTAAAACCCACTATCCTGCCTCCAACCCAGAGGGAGGAGCGGTCAAGTGCTCGTCTTCAGGACCAGGCCCTTCCGATTGGCTGCTGCGACAAAACGTGGCCTGTGATTGGCCACAGTGCCGACGCACGGCCTTCGGGGAGGAAGTGTGGGAGTCCCGCGCCTCTAAAGCCCGCCTTTCCTGTCAAATAAAGGTCGCAGCAGCCGCGTCAACGGGCGGAGCTAACGTGATCGTGATTCATGCAGTCCGGGGACCCCGAAGGTGGGGCCCCACGTAACAAGAAGATGACCCGAAGTTGCTCCGCAGTGGGCTGCAGCACCCGTGACACCGTGCTCAGCCGGGAGCGCGGCCTCTCCTTCCACCAGTGCGTATGGCAGCAACCTCGGAGCCCTCGAGCTCCCTGCGGGGCCTGGGAGGCCGCGGCGCGGCGTGGGGCGGGGCGGGGTCTGACAGGCCGTGGCGCGGCGTGGGGCGGGGCAGGGCCGTACTGTGGGTCGCGCCCTGGGTGTGACGCGACGTGACGTGCACAGCGTAGGGGCGTAGGGGCGTGGGAGCGGAATTGGGGCGCTCTGAGTTGAGTTTCTGTCTCCCCGCTCAGTGTTTACCTCTGAGTAGCCGATTCTTACTCCGTCAACCGCTTTAGCGAGAGCTCCTCGAAAGGAGCCCTCTATTAATTTGATGGTCTTATTATTTAAAGTGAGGAGGCCGGAAGGGAAGGCAGTTTGGGACAAAGGTTGAAGTGTGTGGCGTCTTTCTGAGCACGAGGACAGATCAGTTTTCTCCTGTACTGTCTGACATTGCAAGTTCTTAAGTGCTATTAGACGAGCTCTACAAGGCCGGTCCGATTCTGACTGGATTTGATCAAGGCAGGGAAGTTTCATTTGGCTCAACAGTGGGGAAGAATTTCAGACCAGTCTTACCTGAACTCATATCCATGGTTCAGACTGGTATAGGTCATTCAAATCAGTATTCAGGGTATACTGGCAAGTAGAAAAGTGGGTAAAATAGATCCTCACAGACAGAATGAGATGGGCTTCAAAAAGAAAGTCTGTTAAGATAGTAATAAGATGTAGAGAGTTAATGACAAGGCAGTTTTATGGAAAGATCGAAAAGAACTTCACGGTGGAAAGGGAATAGAAAGTGGGTAGCACTTTAGGAGTGGCATGGAAAAATAAATGTAAAGGGTGGAAAGTGCAAATATAATATAGAGGAGTGGAAAAGTACCTGAGAGACAAAGCCTTTCAAAAATTTAAATGCCATGTTAAGGAGCTTGGACTATGTATGGTAGGCTATGTATCAAATTCATTAATTTTTTTTTAATAGGGCTGATTCCTTCACCTAAATTGTTAACGGTGTGAACCAACTCATTGTGTATCTGAGATGATAATTGATTTGAGATTTTTCTTATGATAGAGGTAGCTTTAAACTAGGGAGACATGAATTCCAATTTTAATTATTTACTGATGTCTGTACTTGGCTCTGGGTCTTGGTTTCATCTTCTGTAGGAGGAATAAAAACCTGCCTTGTAGAGCTTTCGTAAAACCAAAACGTATAAGTCTTTACAGCATACATATAGCACAACGTAAATGCTTTAAAAGTGGTATTACCAATTTAATTTTGTCACGACCTCAAAACTAGTTATGCTAGTTAGACTACAATATTTCCCAGCCTTTTTCTTCTCTCTATTTTTTTTTTTTTTTTTTTGAGACAGGGTCTCACTTCATTGCCCAGGCTGGTGAGCAGTGGCATCATCACAGCTCAGTGCAGCCTCTGTCTCCCAGGCTCAAGCGATCCTCCCACTTCAGCCTTATGAGACTACAGGCACAGACCACCACCATGGCTAATTTTTATTTTTATTTTTTAGTAGAGATGAGGTCTCAGTATGTTGCCCAAGTTGGTCACCAACTCCTGGGCTCAGATTACAGGCATGAGCCACCCCACCCGGGCCCAACCTTTTTGGTAACATTTTACGCATAGGAAATAATTGTTTAATACTTTGGGGCAAAACTACAGCACTGTTTGGGGTTGCCTTGAAGTAACTACTCAGGTGTCCCAGGCCACCCCATGGGCTAAGAAGATCAACAGCTGTACTCGCTAGGCATAACAGTTGGGAAGCTTTGCATCAGAAGACCATGTTAGTAATAAAAGTTGATGGACCAACCAGCTTTTGAGGGTTCCTTGCCCGTTTAGAGACTATACCCAATCTGTGGAAAAGCTGCCTTGCAAATATGTGCCATGAGTTAGAAAAGAACTCGGTGAAAAGAGTTATTTTGGAAAAAGATTTGCCCCAACCTTATTGGAAAAAGAATTCCCTGTACATTTTCTCTTGATCAAGTATCATCATCTTTCTAGAACAATAAAATTATAATCCCAGAAATAGAAACAGTTGTTCCTAGAAAAGACCAAACTTTGGATAGTACTTTACAGTTTAAAAAGTAATTTTGAGGCCGGGCGCGGTGGCTCAAGCCTGTAATCCCAGCACTTTGGGAGGCCGAGGCGGGTGGATCACGAGGTCAAGAGATCGAGACCATCCTGGTAAACATGGTGAAACCCCGTCTCTACTAAAAATACAAAAAATTAGCTGGGCATGGTGGCGCGTGCCTGTAATCCCAGCTACTCAGGAGGCTGAGGCAGGAGAATTGCCTGAACCCAGGAGACGGAGGTTGCAGTGAGCCGAGATCGCGCCATTGCACTCCAGCCTGGGTAACAAGAGCGAAACTCCGTCTCAAAAAAAAAAAAAAAAAAAAAAAAGTAATTTGAATACATTTGTAGCCTCGTACACTCTGACTACACCCCATGAGGAAGTTCAAAGATTGAGAGTTGTATCTAATGCGGTAAAGCTGGTCAAAGGTCATTGAAGCTTAAATACAGATTTTCCAATTCAGTGTTCTTTCTCAAGGTGATTGAGTATCTCAGAATTATGTTTTACCGTACTACTATATTTCTCTAGCAATTAGCTGAGAAAATGTTTTTACCAATCTCAGTTCTAATAACTATGTGCTTTAAAGTCTAAATTAAAATACACAGAAAACATAGTTACCTATAAATCTGTCTCTCTAAGATAAGTCAAAGAAAAGGGGGCAGAAAGAGTAGTTTTGTGACTTTTTCTTCTTCTTTGTTCGATGGGAGACCACCGACTTTTGTGATTTTTATTGTGTTAATTTCACAAGTTTTTTTTTTTGAGATAGAGTCTCACTGTCACCTGTTAGCGTGCAGTGGCACGGTCTCAGCTCACTGCAACCTCCACCTCCTGGGTTCAAGCGATTCTCCTGCCTCAGCCTCCTGAGTAGCTGGAATTACAGGCGGGGGCCACTATGCCCAGCTAATTTTTATATTTTTTTTAGAGACAGGGTTTCACCATGTTGGCCAGGCTGGTCTTGAACTCCTGCCCTCAAGTGATCTGCCCCCGCCTCAACTTCCCAAAGTTCTGGGATTACAGGCATAAACCACCACGTCTAGCCAACAAGTTTCTAAACATAATTTGGCTTGGATTGAAAAATAAATAAACGCAAGGTAATTTTTATAACCAAGGATAGGAAGAAGTAGTGCCTTTAAACATGAAAAAATTGATTATAGTAAATATACTTGTTTGTTTGTTTTTAGAGATGGAGTCTCGCTCTGTTGCCCAGGCTGGAGTGCAGTGGCACAATCTCAGCTCACTGCAACCTCCACCTCCCGGGTTCAAGCGATTCTCCTGCCTTAGCCTCCCGAGTAGCTGGATTACAGGTATGCACCACTATGCCCAGCTAATTTTTTGTATTTTTAGTAGAGACAGGGTCTCACCAGGCTGGGCAGGCTGGTCTTGAACTCCTGACCTTGGGATTACAGGTGTGAGCCACCACGCCTAGCCTGTAAATATACTTGTTTTCTACTGATGCATAACAAGTTACCTCAAAATTCAATATAAACATTTTTATCTCACACATTTCTGAGGGTCAGGGATTCAAGAGTGTAGCTGGATGTTATGGTATCTCATAAGAAGGCTGAAGTCACCTGCTTTCAAAAAGACTAACTCAACATAGCCTTTGACTGGAGGCCTCAGTTCCTCACCAACTAGTTTTCACCACGGGACTGTTTATAACATGGCAGATAACTTACCCCAGAGCAAAACATTCTATACAAGGAGCAAAGAGGAAACCTCAGTGCCTTTATGACGTAGTCTGTGGTCACCTACTGTCACATGTGCTTTTTCCATTCCTTAGCAATCACTAACTCTAGCCCATACTCCCTCAAGGGGTGGAGAATTAGGCTCCTCTTTTTTTTTTTTTTTTTTTTGAGATGGACTTTCACTCTTGTTGCCCAGGCTGGAGTGCAAGTGGCGCAATCTCAGCTCACTGCAGTCTCTACCTCGTGGGTTCAAGAGATCCTCCTGTCTTAGTGTCGCCAGTAGCTGGGATTACAGGCACCCACCACCACACCTGGCTAATGTTTTGTATTTTTAGTAGAGACAGAGTTTCACCATGTTAGCCAGGCTGGTCTTGGACTCTTGACCTCAGGTGATCCACCTGCCTCAGCCTCCCAAAATGTTGGTATTAACAGGCATGAGCCACTGTGCCCAGCCAGCCCCCACTTCTTAAAAGGAGGAGTACCAAATACTTTAAAATCACCACAGGAAAGGAAAAGATGCATATATTCTTTAACCATTTAAATTTGAGCAATTTCTGTTAAGTAGGAAGTGAAGACAAAATACAGTAGGATATTTAATATGAGAATTGCCCCTCTATAATTGACACAGACAAAATCAGATATTGAACTTTTGGATTAAAAAAAAAAAATCAAAGAACATTGAAAAATGAACTGAGCTAAATTAATTAAACTTTTAATTCACTTGGCTTTATGTTTCTATAAATAAGTAAAATAATAAATGGGTTTATATAATAAATACTACTGTAGTATTACTATAATGTTTTTTATTAATGGAACTTTAATATGATTGCCATAGATTTCCAACTGATACCATACAGCGCTCAAAATGGATCAGGGCTGTTAATCGTGTGGACCCCAGAAGCAAAAAGATTTGGATTCCAGGACCTGGTGCTATACTGTGTTCCAAGCATTTTCAAGAAAGTGACTTTGAGTCATATGGCATAAGAAGAAAGCTGAAAAAAGGAACTGTGCCTTCTGTTTCTCTATACAAGGTACTTAAATGTATGTGTAAGTGAACAAAACTAGATTTTACAGAGCCTTTAAAAATCAAGATAGCTCCCATTATAGCTTGAATTTGCAAACAAAAAACAATCCCAAGTCTTAAATTTACTAATAGATTTTAAATGCTTTGAAAATTAATTTAAAAAAAAAAAATCTATATAAGCATTTGTTCTGGAGCATTTAAAAAAGTATATAAATGCAAATCATTTGTCTAGACATATGTAAAGGCTACTAACTAATCACAAAAATCAACTAGTAGATATAAACAGCCTTAGAATACAAGTTTTTGTTAAATACAAGACAGCTTTCATAGTACTTTGAAATTATCTATGTTTTTTGATTCCTCCGAATAACGTTATTTATCTTGATCAAAAATATACCTAATTATTAACATTAATTTAGGAAGTATGTGGAAAATAATAGAACTTTCTATAAGTGAGTCACCAGTATTGGTATGATATTCTTCTGTTTCCTATAACTGTTTTTATTTATTATTTTTTTTTAGAGATGGTTTCACCATGTTGGCCAGGATGGTCTTGATCTCTTGACCTTGTGATCCGCCTGCCTTGGCCTCCCAAAATCCTGGAATTACAGGCGTGAGCCACTGCGCCTGGCCCCTTATTTTATCCTTTTACCCCTTAACCACAACTCTGACACATGGACTTTAATTTTCTGCAGTCTGTGATAGTCACCTAACTGTTCTATCCTGACACTAGCCTTACTTTCCTCTGAATCATTGGAGTCTCCTTCTTTCAGTATTGGTTTGTCTCATTCCCCTATTCAGAAATATTTCATTGGTGTCAAATTCAAACTCATCAAGTTCCAAGTGCTTCCTATTAACTGATTTGTACATTTTTCACTGCCCTGAATTCTCTTTTCAAAGCATATATACTCAGCATATATATATACACGTATATATACACATATATATGTGTGTGATAAGTTTACCTGCTTTCATACTTTTGTGTAACATAAATAATGGCTGCTTTGTATTAAGAGCTACAATGGTCCAGGCATTGAGCTAGGAGATTTACATAAATTCTAATATTGTATCTTCAAAACAATCCTGTATTATTGTCCACATTTTACAGATGAGGACACAAGAGATTGTAGAGCTTAATTGACAGCTAACTGTCACATAACTGAGGGAGCTAAGATTCAAACCCATGTCAGTCTTAATTCCAAAGCCATGTTCTGTCCACTATGCCTTCTTTTTTGCACAAATAACTTCTCTGTCACCTTCATTAACCATGTTATTGTACCTTCAAAGAACTACTTGAAGCTCACTTCCATGAAGCTGTCCCAGTTTACTACCACCTTTCCCTAGTTACTTTATTTCAGAAACTTTCAACATCACATTAATATTTCTGCATATGTGCAAAAAAAAAAATACCTGTTTATATTATCCTATAAACCATACATTAAAAAATTCAGAGATTATGACCTTTTCTTTCGTAACTAACTCCCCACAGCAACCAGATTAGTACTTCTTATTTAGGGTATTTTTACAGATACTCTACTGTGTGATGATTTCTAAAATAACTTTAATTTTATGTATCGGTCATAGGTTCCTCAAGGGATACGTCTTAAAGGCAAAGCAAGACAGAAAATCCTAAAACAGCCTCTTCCAGTTAATTCTCAAGAAGTTGCTACTGAGGACCATAACTATAGTTTAAAGACACCTTTGACGATAGGTGCAGAGAAACTGGCTGAGGTGCAACAAATGTTACAAGTGTCCAAAAAAAGACTTATCTCTGTAAAAAACTATAGGATGATCAAGAAAAGAAAGGGTTTACAATTAATTGATGCACTTGTAGAAGAGAAATTACTTTCTGAAGAAACAGAGTGCCTGCTACGAGCTCAATTTTCAGGTACTTCCCCCCAGTAACCTGTAGTATTTATAAAATAGCTATTTTTCTGAGATATTATTAAATATTTATTTTGTTCTTTTCTATGAAAACATGCTTTGAGCTGGGAAGTGAAAGTCTCAGTAGCTTAAGCAAGACAAATGAAAATTAATCACCAAAATTCTTTTACATTTTATGCTTTTCCAATTATAAAAGTAACATTTATTATAGGAAAAGCAAATAAATATTTAAATAATTAAAATAACGTGTAACCCCACTACCCAGAGATGAGACCGTATGGTTTATAGCATTTTCTGTTCTGTACTTTTTTAGTACAGAACTTTTTGTGTTAGCTCTTACCCATTTGCTACTGCAGCTTCATTATAAACAATTTAAACTACTATATAATTTTACCAAAGTCTTTTTGCAGTGGAGTTGTACTAGTTTGCAAAATTTCTTTGAGCTTGGAAATTGTGTATCTTCGCATTTTTTTCTAAAATATTCTATAGGGTAGATCTGTAAACCCACTGAAAGGCTATCTAGTCCTCTTTGTGAACTAAGATGTTTGAAAAAGTGCAGAATAAAAATTGCCAGCTTATTCTTTGATGAAAGCAGCAGAGGTTTGGACTTACATTCTAAGAAAAGAGAAATGTGTCCTGTTTTTAGAAAAGAGTAGCTGTCTCCAAAGGGGGAGAATATTTTATGTTTTTCCAAGAGGGGACTCGAGGTCATAAATAGGAACCCCCACCACAAACATAGTTTGTTTTTTTTCTCTCAATATTAGGCAAGATGGTATGAAATTTAGATATGAAATTTTTCATATCTAAATTTAGATATGAAAAACATCCCCAGAAATGTTTTTCATATCTAATTTTCACTCTCAGAGAAATAGTAAGCAGGGAACAAAATAAAATAAATAAATGCCTTCATTTTATTTTCTTTCCTGTTCCTCAAAAAATCCCTACACTCCGGCTGCTACTGAATAGTGAAACATAATTTAAGTGGAAAATTTTTTCTTCCCTTTGATTCAAGACGAACCAAATAAATTGATTTATTGATTGATTCAAGATGAACCAAATAAATTGGTCAAGAAGCCCTAAGTGGATATTAACCTCTGAACAGACTGAATTAAAATGTAACTGTGTTTGTATTTGAATTTTGATGCCCAGTGCATTTTGTATCCAAATGCTATAATCTGTACCTGAAAATGTTACTGTTCATCACAAAGAATAAAAAAAATTATTTTAACAGATTTTAAGTGGGAGTTATATAATTGGAGAGAAACAGATCAGTACTCCACAGAAATGAAACAGTTTGCATGTACGCTCTACTTGTGCAGTAGCAAAGTCTATGATTATGTAAGAAAGATTCTTAAGCTGCCTCATTCTTCCATCCTCAGAACGTAAGTGAATTATTTTTTATTTTTTAAAAATGTCTTTCTTGTCACCACATCTTGCTGATTACATGTGAATTACTCTTTAGATGTCAAACCATATTATTCTTTTATTGGATTTTATTTATTAAGGCTATTAGTACTCATACTCTCATTTAAAAAAAGAAAAAAATGGACTAATAATGGAAAAAAATGGACTCTCATTTTCTATTTTTCAAAAACTTCTAGGTGGTATTTACCTATTATCACATCAGCAGTACTTTCACCAACAAAATGAAGACACATAGTGTGACAAGTTTTTTGCATCTCCCAAACAGTCTGGGTGATAAAATTTGAAGCCTGAAATATTGGAATTTCTAGTATACTTCAGAAGTTTTAATAACTGACTATCCTGGAAAATATAGAACAGTTCTAGATTGATAACCATTGGTCTTAAGCAAAGCACAAAAATCTGCATTTTTCATAAGCACTGCACTTGATGCCAAGGTAGGTTGTCCAGGGAAAAGATTTTGATAAATAATTTTTTAGGATTTGTGATTAAGATGGATAGATATATTTATAATTCTCTTAGTGTGGAGCAAGTAATGATTATTTTCTAGTAATATCTTCTAAATTTAATACTGAATTTAAAATTTTTACTGTTTTTACCACTAGTTCTACACATTTTTTTTTTCTTGAGACTGAGTCTTGCTCTGTTGCCCAGGCTGCATGCAGTGCAGTGGCACAGTTGATCTCAGCTTGCAGTAACCTTGCCTCCCAGGTTAGAGCAATTCTCATGCCTCAGCCTCCTACTGAGTAGCTGGGATTACAGGTGTGCAGCACCACATCCAGCTGATTTTTTGTATTTTTAGTAGAGATGGGATTTTGCTATGTTGGCCAGGCTGATCCCAAACTCCTGGCCTCAGTGATCCAACCGCCTTGGCCTCCCAAGGTGCTGGGATTACAGGCGTGAGCCACCATGCCCAGCCTAGTTTTACAGATTTTTTTTTTTTTTTTTGAGATGGAGTCTTGCTCTGTTGCTGAGGCTAGAGTGCAGTGGTGCAATCTTGGCTCACTGCAACTTCCTCCTCCTGGTTCAAGCAGTTCCCCTGCCTCAGCCTCACTGCCACGCCTGGCTAATATTTGTATTTTTGGTAGAGATGGGGTTCACCATCTTGGCCAGGCTGGTCTTGAACTGCTGACCTTGTGATCCACTCTCCTCATCCTCCCAAAATGCTGGGATTACAGGCGTGAGCCACTGTACCCGGCCCAGATTCTTTTTTTAAAAAATTTAGATCTGGGGAGAAATCTTAGGCTTTTTAATTAAAATAATTAAAAACAGAAAAAAATACAGATTTTCCCCTATACATGCTATAACAGTAATACTACTAATAAAAAATTTAGAAATAATTGACCTTCAGAATAGGCTGAAGAAGAAAAAATTTAGAAGAGGGAAAATTTATTTTTTGTTAACAGAGCATTTTCTTTTAGTCTTTGTGTGTGTGTGTGTGTGTGTGTGTGTGTGTGTGTGTGTGTGTGTGTGTGTTCACTTAGATTTACTAGTGTTTACATAGCTGTGATCTTTTGTAAATAAATTTCCAACCAGCCTTTTATCACTTTATTATATATGCCTTTTATCTGTAACATTATTTTGTACTCTATATAGACAAGTTTTAATAGCTGCATGATATCAGGTAGTCCTACCCTACTTAATTAACCCTGGCATTCTCCAACTATTGGACATTTCTATTGTTTCCATTTTGGGGTTATACTTGTTATTTCATATATTTAGATGAACATTTGTATATAAAGCTTACTTTTTCATAATGTGATTTTACCATTCAGGCTGATTTTATACTTATTTATAATTATTCACTTTTTGCTAAGCAAGATAGTTTTATAGGTGCTGTGTTGATAATTTCCCCTCCTATACCTTTTTGGTTGTTTTTCTGTTTTCTGGTTGATATATTAGTTGTACATATTCTGAGGGTACATGTGATATTTTGATACATGTATACAATTTGTAATGATCAAATAGGGTAATTAAAATGTCCATCATTTATAAATCTAAACATCTATCTTTTCTTTGAGTTGAGAAGCTATGCCTTTTTAATCTTTTCTACATAGTTTTAAAGCTTTACTTAATGGTATTTCACTATGGTTTATATAAGATATTTCACGTAACTTCTCTTCTTTTTCATGGTTTTCTTCATTTTCCATAGTTCTGCATCACCTCCTAGAATAAATCTTCCTGGTAATTCAAAGTCACACTTATCTTTTCTCTCTGCATGTCATTTTGCATTTTGTGACCTTTGCTGTGACATTGTATATTTAGATTTATAATTCCAGTACTCAAACAGTTGCTCATTTCTTTAGGTTCTTTGCCTAAGTAAGGTATATTGTTTAGTATGATGGTAATACATGTTTGTTATAAAACATTCAAACGATATATAAGTACATAAATACCAGAAAGTGAAAAAGAAAAAAAGAAAAAAAAAAAAAAAAAAAAGGAACAAAAAAAGAAATACCAGAAAGTGAAAAACACAATACTTTCCTTTCCCTAATCGTACAACATAACTACAATTAGCAGTTTTGTGTGTATCCTCCCAGAGTTTAAAAAAAAAAACTATCTACCAATAAAATTTTGTTTTAATGGCTATATAGTATTACATTAATGGTATACAGTTTTCATTTATTTTCTATTAATATAAGGTTCTTAGATTAATGGTATATACATTTCCATTTATTTTCCCATTTAAAAAGTGATCTGTTTTTAACACAGTTATCTTAAGTATTAGATCTTTATAATCATATTCAGTATTCATTTATTCAATAAATATTTATTGATCAGGAGCGGCCAGTGAGGCAGGAGAAAACCAGGAGATTGTGGTGGCCTGGAAGCCAAGTGTAGAAAGTATTTCAAGGAGGGAGTAGTCCACTATGTCAAATGCTGCTGGGAGATCAGGTAAGATGAGGACAGAGAATTGACCATTGGATTTTACAAGATGAAGGTCATTGATGACCCTGACAAAAGCAGTTACAGTAGCATGGTGGAGAGGTAAACCTGGTTGGAGTGGGATTAAGAGAGACTAAAGGTGAAGAAGCAGAGAAAATGATTGTGGACTCTTCCATGGAATTTTGCTATGAAGGAGAGCAGAGAAATAGGTCTGTAGGTAGAAGGGAACATGCATTGAGGCAAGGGTGTTTGTTGAGATGGCAGATGTCTCAGCATGTTTGCATGTTTATGGGAATGATCCAAGAGAGAAAAGAAAATTGGCAATGTATAAGAGAAAGGATAATTGCAGGAGGAACACCCAGCACCATTGTGGAGGGAAGTATGACCTTAAGGTATTGGGACAGTTCATCCATTGAAACAGGAAGAAAGGCAGAAGTATAGATACAATTGGTTAACAGATTTGGTAGTAGGAAAATGAGTTTTGTCTTTTAAAAAAATGGTGCCTTGGCCAGGCAAGGTGGCTCACGTCTGTAATCTCAGCACTTTGGGAGGTCGAGTCGAGCAGATCATGAGTTCAGGAATTCAAGACCAGCCTGGCCAATATAGTGAAACCCCATCTGTACTAAAAAATACAAAAATTAGCCGGGTGTGGTGGTAGACACCTGTAATCCCAGCTACTTGGGAGGCTGAGTGCGGTAGGAGAATCGCTTGAACCTGGGAGGCAGAGGTTGCAGTGAGCGGAGACTGCACCATTGCACTCCAGCCTGGGCAACAGCAAAACTACCTTACCAAAAAAAAAAAAAGAAAAGAAAAGAAAACCAAGATGGGGCCTCATTGTGTTGCCTGGGCTAGCCTTAAACTCCTGGGCTCAAGCAGTCTATACACATGCTAGAACTATACACATGCACCACCATGCTCAGCAGGAAAATGAGTTTTTATTGGATTGCTTCTGTTTTCTCAATGAAATAGTTATTAACTGAGAGTTGGCAAGGAAGGGATTCGATGTGGGGAGAAAGGAGAAAATGTGACCAGTCACCGACCAGGGACAGTAAGTAACTGGAAAAAGGCAGTACCAGAATTGTAGTCAAAACTGGTGTCTTTCCCTCCATAGTGATGGAGAAACAATTAGATGATTAACAATTAGATGATGACAGACCAAACTAGACTTAAATTTTTTAAAACCCTTGGTTTGGTTATAGGATGCCTTACAAATTTCTAATTGTCACACATCTTTCTCTATTCTTAGCTATATCAGATATTTCTCTAATTTTCTCTTTACTGATATTGTATCCTTTTTCAGTTCTCCCTGGATTCTTTATGTCCAAAACTTTCCCAAAGCTGTGTTTTTTATAATTCCAGTGTTTGGGGTCTTTAAGGTAATTTATTTTCACAAAACCTTTGAAACTAAGTCTTAATATTCTCAACTTATTACAATAGTGACATATACAGTGTGATCTTGGTCATAGAAAATGCTGGCACAGTTGTTCCTTATTTATATTTCCTCTGTTTCTAATTTTTGGTTTAAATTCACTGCAGTTTAGTAAATGAACTCCCTCTATAATTTACCTGCTATGAGAGAATCAAAAGTAAGAACAGCAAGAGTAGCTAAAAGTTTTAACAGAAAAACACTTAGCACTATGGATCTCTAGGACTATAGTTTTTCCCAGGCAGAATTTTTTTTTTTTCTTTTTTTTGAGATGGAGTCTCGCTCGGTCGCCAGGCTGGAGTGCAGTGACGTGATCTTGGCTCACTGCAACCTTCGCCTCCCAGGTTTAAGCGATTCTCCTGCTTCAACTTCCCAAGAAGCTGGGACTGCAGGTGTGCACCACCACACCCAGCCAACTTTTGTATTTTTAGTAGAGATGGCGTTTCATCATGTTGGCCAGGATAGTCTCAATCTCTTGACCTCGTGATCCACCCACCTCGGCTTTTCAAAGTGCTGGGATTACAGGCATGAGTCACCACACCCAGCCTCCCAGGCAGAATTTTAAGCTACCCAACTGACTCCCTATAATAACTAAGTTATTAGATATTGGTTTGTTAATTTAAAATATCATGTTGATGAGAATATAAATGAAAATTAGTTTGAACTTTTGCAAGGACAATTTGGGAATATTAATTTTAAATTGACACGCCTAGTTATGTGCACCTGAAATCCAAAATTTGTCTTTAATTTCTTATTAAAGTTGAGTTTATATATGCCAATATATGCATAAGTTTACCTCAGATGATTACACAAATGACATAAATATGTATATGTGTACGGGTGCACAGGTATACATACACACATTGTGGCACTGTTATCTAAAAATTTGAAATTATCAAGATGTCCTTTGATTTGAGTTAAATTATCTTCATTTAACTATACTGTGGCCGGGCGCGGTGGCTCAAGCCTGTAATCCCAGCACTTTGGGAGGCCGAGGCGGGTGGATCACAAGGTCAAGAGATCAAGACCATCCTGGTCAACACAGTGAAACCCCGTCTCTACTAAAAATACAAAAAATTAGCTGGGCATGGTGGCGCATGCCTGTAATCCCAGCTACTCAGGAGGCTGAGGCAGGAGAATTGCCTGAACCCAGGAGGCGGAGGTTGCGGTGAGCCGAGATCGTGCCATTGCACTCCAGCCTGGGTAACAAGAGCGAAACTCCGTCCCAAAGACCAAAAAATTAAAAAAAAACTATACTGTGGTATATACTGTGTACACATTTAAAATGTTGCTGTAGGTTGATATTTAAGGGAGTGTAAAAATATGTGCAAGATTACCATTAAGTGAAAAATCAATATACAATTTTGAAAATTATATCTAGGTATGTATACATAAAGACATATGGAAGAATGTTCATGAAATATTAACAGTAACTTTTTACTTTCTTCTTTATACTTTTTATATTTAGTTTTTTTGAAAAGAAGAATGTGTTGGCCAGGCATGGTGGCTTATGCCTGTAATCCCAGCAATTTGGGAAGTTGAGCCAGGCAGATCACCTGAGGTCAGGAGTTCCAGCCTTGCCAACGTGGTGAAACCCCATCTCTACTAAAAAAAAATTAGCCAAGCGTGGTGGTGTGCGCCTATAATCCCAGCTCCCCAGGAGGCTGAGGCAGGTGAATCACTGCAACTCAAGGGGCAGAGGCTGCAGTGAGCCGAGATTGCGCCACTGCACTCAGCATAGGCGACAGAGCAAGACTCCGTCTCAAACAAAAAGAAGAATGTCTTTTTTTATGACCAGAAGAAAATTTTTTTTATTTTCAGAGAAGAAAAGAGATTTAAAGGAGAAATTATGTCCTTCCCTACTGTTCTAACTCATGAACTTGGTTTGAGTATGCCTATTCTTTCTTATAAAAACTTTAAAAAATAAATCAAATCCACATATCATTCTGCTTCATGTTCATGACATCATTCTAGTAGCTGTAGATATTCAGATACCATTGAGGTTTCCATTTGAAAATCAAACTCAGCAGAACATAAATTGTTTTTTTTTTTTACCCTATTTAAAATAAAACTTACATAGGGACACTGTGTGCTTTATTATATATGTACTACATACGCAGCACAGCATCTTTGGTGCTTATTTGAGAATTGTAAAAAACATAAATTTTAAACAACTAAAACTTGGTGACACACTTGAAAAGAGTTTTCAACATGCTAGTTGTAGCATTGCTGTACTGTTTAGTCACTGTCTTACTATTTTTTCCTTTTTTAAAATCTTTTAAGTTCAGGGGTACATGTAAAGGTTTGTTACATAGGTAAACTCATGTCACAAGGGTTTGTTGTACAGATGATTTCATCATCCAGGTGTTAAGCACAGTATACAATAATTGTCTTTTCTGCTCCTCTCCCTCCTCCCAACTTCTACCACCCTTGAGTAGACCCCAGTGTCTGTTGTTTTCTTTTTTCTTTTTATTTTTTTTGAGACAGAGTTTTGCTCTGTTGCCCAGACTGGAGTGTAGTGGTGTAATCTTGGCTCACTGCAACCTTTGCCTCCTGGGTTCAAGTGATTCTTCTGCCTTAGCCTGCCAAGTAGCTGGGATTGCAGGCATACAGCACTGAGCCTGGCTAATTTGTGTATTTTTAGTAGAGATTGGGTTTTACCATGTTGGCCAGGCTGGTCTTGAACTCCTTACCTTAGGTGACCTGCCTCCCTTAGCCTCCCAAAGTGCTGAGATTACAGGCGTAAGCCATGGTGCCCTGGCAAGTTCTCATCATTTAGCTCCCACTTATAAGTGAGAACATGCAGTATTTGGTTTTCTGCTCCTGTGTTAGTTTGCTAAGGATAATAGCCTTTAGCTCCATCCATGTTGCTGCAAAAGACATGATCTTGTTCTTTTTTATGGCTACATAGTATATGCCATGGTGTATATGTACTAGTGTGTGTGTGTGAGTGAGTGTGTGATGGAGTTTTGCTTGTTGCCCAGGCTGGAGTGCAATGGCACGATCTCGGCTCACCGCAACCTCCGCCTCCTGGGTTCAGGCAATTCTCCTGCCTCAGCCTCCTGAGTAGCTGGGATTACAGGCACGCGCCACCATGCCCACCTAATTTTTTTGTAGTTTTTTTAATAGAGACGGGGTTTCACCATGTTGACCAGGATGGTCTCGATCTCTTGACCTCGTGATCCACCCGCCTTGGCCTCCCAAAGTGCTGGGATTACAGGCGTGAGCCACCGCGCCCGGCCGTGTAGGGCTATTTTTGTAAGCTGGGAGTGGGTTGTAGGGTGTGGAGTGACAAGGTTGACCAAGGTTACAAACTCCAATGGCCTTATCAATTAGGGCAGGAATAAGGAACAATAGAGAGTGTCTTAAAGTTAAGTAGATGCAGAAGGGGTTGATCATTTCTTCCTCTTCAAGGTCTTCCATTTACTTTAGATTTTCCAGGAACTCATCTGGAGTGTCTGTGCAGGTCACAGAGGTTAATATGGTGTCCATGGCACCCTCAGTCAGCCTAAAAGACCTTACACATATATGTATATGTATATATTTATAATTTATATTTATAAACTATTACAGTTATTCCTTAATATATGTGGGGGATTGGTTCTAGGACACCCCCAGCTTGTGCCAGTATACCAAAATCCATGTATACACAAGTCCTGTAGACAGTCCTGCAGAACCCATGTATACGAAAAGTTTGCTGTCTGTATATGCAAGTTTTGCATACTATAAATACTGTATTTTCCCTCCATGCATTTGGTTGAAAAAAAAAAGTTCAAAAGTTAACTGTGTGTGTGATACATACTGCATATATGTGAACGTTTATGGTATGTACTAAGGGTGAATTTTGTTTATGAAACTTCTAGGTGGCACCTAAAATATTTGGAAAGCCCTATCCCAAAATACTTAGAGAAGAACATTAAACTCTCAATTAAGTAGCAGTCAGCTGTCCAGTAAGAAGCTTGGTTGCCTTCGAATACAGCCAAAAAATCAGAAATTTAACTCAAAAGACATTTGCGTTACAAAAGTATGTTAGTTACAGGTGAACATCCCAGTCTCTCCCTCAGAATCCCTTTAGTTGTAGAGTTATTAAATATGGCTATTTTCTTTCTTGATCTGTAACAAGTTAGAAAGAGGAAATTAGAAGTAAGAAGAATTACAAAGATAGACACCATAATAGGAAGAAAATAATTAGCAGTCTGAGAACAGGGATACCATGAAAGAAATCCTAAGATAGTAATGCAGGTGGGTTGTATAGAGGCACAGATACACAAAAGTTATATGCCTTTAAGGGCATAATTTTGAGGCTGTAAAGAGTGAGAAAAGCAGTAAGCCCCTGGGTATCAGGAAACCGGGTTTCACATTTGTTCATAACAGTACATTATGGGCCAAGTCGCTTAACCTCTCCCTCTGTCCCAGTTTCCTAGTCTGTAAAATGAGGTAGATGTACTAGATGTTCTCAAAGTTTCCTTCCCATTCAGCAATTTTCTCATTTCAGTGAATTTACAAGCAAGACTGGGTTAAGATTTACAATATAAAAGATCAATTAGAACAAATTGGTTAGTTGGTTTGTTTACTTTTTAAAGACTAAATGAGAAAAACACTAGCAGCCTGCTAGCGCAGTGGTTGGGGCATAGGTCTAGGAGCCATTAGGGTGTAGGTTCGAATCCCAGGTAGGGTTAGTGTTAGGAATAGGGCTAGAGCATTAGAAGGGTAGCACAGTAGGTAGGGCACAGGAATAGGAAGGTCATAGGTTCGAATCTATGGCAGAGAAAAAAAAGAAAACAAAAAGGTTTAAGGCTGGGCGTGGTGGCTCATGCCTGTAATCCCAGCACTTTGGGAGGCCGAGACAGGCAGATCACAAGGTCAGGCATTTGAGACCAACCTGGCCAATATGGTGAAACTCTGTCTCTCTACAAAAAAAAAAAAATATGTTGTATGTTTGCATCTTAAAATACTACTTTGTGTTTCTAAATTTCTTTTATCTTACTATTTTATTGTAACTATGAATATACCACTGAAAATGTCTATAGAATTTGGCTTCTTATATACTTGGCTTTATTTCTACAGGGATGGGAGACTAGTACTGGTTAAGTCATTTTCCTATTTACCTTTTTATTTCTGTTTCTTTAAGTTTTCTGTGTTTCACTTTTTATATATTCTAGATGGTTATCCAAATGCCAACCTGGTCCAGGTTTCAACAGCCACATTTTTTCTTTTCTTCAACGAAGAGTACAGAACGGAGATCAACTCTATCAATATTGTTCATTGATAATAAAAAGTATACCTCTCAAGCAACAGCTTCAGTGGGATCCCAGCAGTCACAGTTTACAGGGGTTTATGGACTTTGGTCTTGGAAAACTTGATGCTGATGAAACACCACTTGCTACAGAAACTGTTTTATTAATGGCAGTGGGTGTTTTTGGCCATTGGAGAACACCTCTTGGTTATTTTTTTGTAAACAGAGCATCTGGATATTTGCAAGCTCAGCTGCTTCGGCTGTCTATTGGTAAACTGAGTGACATAGGAATCACAGTTCTGGCTGTTACATCTGATGCCACGGCACATAGTGTTCAGATGGCAAAAGTGTTGGGGATACATATTGATGGAGATGATATGAAATGTACATTTCAGCATCCTTCATCTTGTAGTCAACAAATTGCATACTTCTTTGATTCTTGCCACTTGCTAAGATTAATAAGAAATGCATTTCAAAATTTTCAAAGCATTCAGTTTATTAATGGCATAGCACATTGGCAGCACCTTGTGGAGTTAGTAACACTAGAGGAACAGGAATTATCAAATATGGAAAGAATTCCAAGTACACCTGCAAATTTGAAAAATCATGTACTGAAAGTGAATTGTGCTGCCCAACTCTTTAGTGAGAGTGTAGCCAGTGCATTAGAATATTTGCTATCCTTAGGCCTGCCGCCTTTTCAAAACTGTATTGGTACCATCCATTTTTTACGTTTAATTAACAATTTGTTTGACATTTTTAATAGTAGAAACTGTTATGGAAAGGGACTTAAAGGGCCTCTGTTGCCTGAAACTTACAGTAAAATAAACCATGTGTTAATTGAAGCCAAGACTATTTTTGTTACATTATCTGACACTAGCAATAATCAAATAATTCAAGGTAAGCAAAAACTAGGATTCCTGGGATTTTTGCTCAATGCCGAGAGCTTAAAATGGCTCTACCAAAATTATGTTTTCCCAAAGGTCATGCCTTTTCCTTATCTTCTGACTTACAAATTCAGCCATGATCATCTGGAATTATTTCTAAAGATGCTTAGGCAGGTATTAGTAACAAGTTCTAGCCCTACCTGCCTGGCATTCCAGAAAGCTTACCATAATTTGGAGACCAGATACACATTTCAAGATGAAGTTTTTCTAAGCAAAGTAAGCATCTTTGACATTTCAGTTGCTCGAAGGAAAGACTTGGCCCTGTGGGCAGTTCAGCGTCAGTATGGTGTCAGTGTTACAAAGACCCTCTTTCATGAAGACGGCATTTGTCAAGACTGGTCTAATTGTTCACTAAGTGAGGCATTGTTAGACCTATCAGATAATAGAAAAAATCTCATCCGTTATGCTGGTTATGTTGCAGACAAGTTATCAGCTCTTTTAACTTGTGAGGACTGCATCACTGCACTATATGCATCGGATCTCAAAGCCTCTAAAATCGGGTCACTATTATTTGTTAAAAAGAAGAATGGTTTGCATTTTCCCTCAGAAAGTCTATGTCGGGTCATAAATATTTGTGAGCGAGTTCTAAGAACCCATTCAAGAATGGCAATTTTTGAACTAATTCCTAAACAGAGGGAATTGTATCTTCAACAGAAAATATTATGTGAGCTTTCTGGGCATATTTATCTTTTTGTAGATTTGAATAAGCATCTCTTTGATGGAGAAGTGTGTGCCGTCAATCACTTTGTTAAGTTGCTAAAGGATATAATAATCTGTTTCTTAAATATTAGAGCTAACAATGTTGCACAGAACCCTTTAAAACGTCATTCAGAGAGAACTGATATGAAAACCTTATCAAGGAAACACTGGTCATCTCTACCAGACTATAAATGTTCAAGTTTTGCTAATACCAATAAATTCAGGCATTTGCTAAGTAACGATGGATATCCATTCAAATGAGAGACCTAAAATATATTAACATTTTAATTAAAAATACTTGGTCAACTTTTTTTTTTTTTTTTGAGATAGAGTCTCGCTCTAGCCAGGCTGAAGTGCAGTGGCACAATCTCGGCTCACTGCAACCTCCGCCTCCCAGGTTCAAACGATTCTCCTGCCTCAGCTTCCCAAGCAGCTGGGACTACAGGTGGGCACCACCACGCCCAGCTTATCTTTGTATTTTTAGTAGAGACAGGGCTCCACCATGTTGGCCAGGATGGTCTGGATCTTGACCTCATGATCCGCCCGCCTTGGCCTCCCAAAGTGCTGGGATTACAGGCGTGAGCCACAGCACCCAGTCAGTCAACATTTTTTAAAGTTAACTTTACCTTATTTTATAAATTGACCATTCTGCACAGTGGACAAGTTTGCAATTCTGACTTATTAAAATTACTAATTCTGCATATCACAAAAATCTGCTTATACTTTTGGTATGGCTTGCAGCATTTATGAGTTTTCCAAAATGTGGAAGCAGTAGGTCAGTAGGAGCAGATTAGCCAATAGGTACTGTCTTTGAATTTACTACTATAAGCAGTGTGACTGGACACAGTTTTAACTTGTTCAATCCGCTTCAAAAACAAGAAAAACAACTATGAGTTATCAGAACATTGACTCCTTTTATGACTAGACTACATTTCTAAAAGATCTTTGGTTTATAATTCTTAAGAAAATTGACAATACCCATAAAACCTTGAAGATAACTTAAATATGAAAATTAAATCATAGTTTGAAAATTAGGCTCAAACAAATATCAAATACTACAAAAATCCCCTTGTCCCAGGATACCCTGAAAGAGAAGTACTGAAACTTTGTCAGGCAGCCACGCTGGGGAGTGCAGTCTGGAAAGAACATACCTAACGTGTTTTTCACTCTCCATTATCCCTGAACTTTGAAATATTACTTTTGAATAATAAGCTGGACACTTAGTTTGACTTCTCTTGGAAGAGCTCAATGCTTATCAGAAAACAGGGAGAAACCTAATCTGAAAAGCAGCATACTAAGGACAGTTTTCTCCACTCACATCCACATTTGAAAAGAGAAATAGAAAAACATAGGTAACTCTACTTTCAAAAATGGGAGTATTTTAATGGATAGAAGAAACAAGCACACTATTCACCTGTGTTTGTAAAACATCTCCTTTTTTGTCACTGAATAAGTGTTCGCAAAGTACACTAATCGAACGAATCCTAATATGAAAACTTAGAATTACAAAAGATGACTGCCAAGGTAAATGTATATTATTTAAAATTCCCCTTAAAAAGTATTTTGATGTTTGTTTATTCTACCTCAAACAAAGACTTAAATGTTGAAGTGTAATAACCAGTTTATACTTCATTTTATACAAAACTTATGGCTGAATATTGTGCTTTTTGTTGTTTTTAAGTAGAATTGAATTTAAATACACCAGGATAAATCTTATTTAAAGGAAGCCTGTTTGTAAATCACCAGCATTAACTTATTGCTTATATAAATCCAAGCTCTGTACCCGATCTTTATGTAAAGCAAGGTTCACACCTATAGTATCTAATGCCCTGTGGTGTTACATTTGACTAATGTACAAATGTCTGCATTTTAGTGTTTTGCATTATTCCTTTAAGTGCTAGATAAATTGGAAAAAGATGGTCAGTTGAGACAATGAATATGGAAAAATTTGAAGGTCACAAACTTTTCTTAGATAAGAACAGTTTCATCACTACTTTTAGCCCAGTTAATTGCTCCTGCACTTGTGAAAGGGCTTGGGGTCTTATACCAGACTTACTTGATATGATATGCTTTACAGTGAAATAAATTATTCATTCATATTTGATTTAGGGCAGTTTGCTTATAATTTCTACTTTGCATCTTTGCCATTTTTTTCTTCAGAGAAAAACATTCCCTTTAAAAATGTATCCTCCTACTTTCCAACAACTAGTGCTGGGAGAACTGGATATCCACATGCAAAAAAAATTAAAATGAAGCAAAGACCTAAATATAAGAGGTAAGACTACACAACTTTTAGAAAAATATGGAGTTAATCTTGGAGATTTGGATTAGGTGTTGGTTTCTTTTATTTTTACTTATTTTTTACTATTAGATTGGCACAAGATCTTTTTTTTTTTTTTTTTTAAGATGGAGTCTTACTCTGTTGCCCAGGCTGGAGAGCAGTGCTGCAATCTCAGCTCACCACAACCTCCGCCTCCCGGATTCAAGCGATTCTCCTGCTTCATTCAGCCTCCCAAGTAGCTGGGACTACAGGTGCGCACTACCATGCCCAGCTAAATTTTGTATTTTTAGTAGAGATGGAGTTTCACATGTTGGTCAGGCTGGTCTTGAACGCCTGACCTCGTGATTTGCCTGCCTTAGCCTCCCAAAGTGCTGGGATTACAGGCGTGAGCCACCTTGCCCTGCCAGGTGATGATTTCTTAAGACACTTAAAGCACAGCAAAAGAAAATAATTGGACTTCATCAAAATTAACTTGTGCTTTGAAGGGATACCATCAAGAAAGTGAAAGACAACCCATTGAATGGGAAAAATGTTTGCAAATCATTTATCTGATAAAGTTAGTATATCTAGAATCTACAAGGAATTCCTATAACTCAATAATAAAAGGATAAATAACCAAAATTTTTTAATGGGTAAAGAATATGCATAGACTTTTCTCCAAAGGAGATATGCAGAAGGCCATAAAACACATGAATATATGTTCACATCAGCTATCCAGAAAATGCAGATCAATATGACAATGAAATATTACACCTGCTGGGACAGCTATTATAAAGATATGGAGGCCGGGTGTGGTGGCTCACACCTATAATCCCTGCACTTTGGGAGACTGAGATGGGTGGATCATCTGAGGTCAGGAGTTCGAGACCAGCCTAGCAAACATGATGAAACCCCATCTCTACTAAAAATACAAAAAAATAGCTGGGCATTGTGGCACATGCCTGTAATCCCAGCTACACAGGAGGCTGAGGCAGAATGCTTGAACCCAGGAGGCAGAGGTTGCAGTGAGCCGAGATTGGGCCACTGCACACCAGCCTGGGCAACAAGAACAAAACTATGTCTCAAAAAAAATAAAGAAGACATGGCCAGGCACAGTAGCTCATGCCTCAACTCCCAGGATTTTGGTAAGCTGAGGCGGGAGGACTGCTGGAGCCCAAGAGTTCAAAACCAGCCTGGACGATAAACATAGTAAGACCCCCATCTCTGGAAAAAAAAAAAAAGAAGACATAGTATTGGCAAGAATGTGGAGAAATTAGAAACCTCATACACTTTAGTTGGTGACAATGTGAAATAGTCCTGCTAGTGCAGCAGCTTTGGAAAATAGCTGGACAGTTCCTCAAATGTTAAATACAGTTACCTATGACCTACCAAATTGTACTCCTAGGCATATACCCAAGAGAAACGTAAACGTCCACACAAAAATGTGTACATTTTGAAGTTTGTGTACACGAACTTCATTTATAATAGCCAAAAAGTGAGAAAAAGCCTAAATGTCCATCGACTGATTAATGAAAAAAATGTGCTATAACCATGAGATGGTTCATATGGTAAGTGTATGTTTAACCTTGTAACAAATTGCCAAAGCTTGCAAACTGACTAGTTTTGCATTCTGGCCAGCAATATATCAATGTTTCCCTTGCTCTACTTCTTTCCCAGCATTTGGCATTGTCACGATTTACTTCTGTTTTCAAGTAGCCATTCTAATAGGTGCCTAGAATGTAATTTTCACTTGCATTTTCCTAATGACCACTGATGTGGAGCCCCTTTTCATTTGCTTATTTGCCATTGTGTAACTTCTTAGGTGGAATGTCAGTTCAAGTCTTTTGTTCATATTTTGGAAGATTGGCTCTTTTCTTATTGAGCATTAGTTACATATTCTGGATATAAGTGCATTATCAGATGTGTTTGGCAATTATTTTTTTTTCTCAGTCTGGCTTTTTAAATTAAAGATCTTTTTTATTTTTATTTATATATTTTTTTAAGATGGGGTTTCACCATGATGGCCAGGCTCGTCTTGAACTCCTGACCTCAGGTGATCACCTCGGCCTCCCAAATTGCTAGGATTACAGGTGTGAGCCACCGCACCCAGCCTTAACTGTCTTTTGAAAAGCAGATATAATTAATTTTGGTAAGTCCAATTTTTCTATTTTTTTCTTTTTGGGATCTTAATTTTATATCTAAAATCTTTGCATAACCTATGGTCACAGATTTTTCTTAGGTTTTCTTCTCAACATTTAGTAGTTTTAGGTTTTACATGTAAGCTATGATTCATTCTCAGTTAACTTTGGCATATGAGTTGAAGTTCTTTTTTTTGTTTTGAGACTGAGTCTTGTTCTGTCGCCCAGGCTGGAGTGCAGTGACACAATCTTGGCTCACTGCAACTCCACCTCCCACGTTCAAGTGATTCCTGTGCCTCTCGAGTAGCTGGGACTACACGTGTGCGCCACCACGCCTGGCTAATTTTTGTGTTTTTAGTAGAGATGGGGTTTCACCATGTTGGTCAGGCTGGTCTCAAACTCCTGACTTCAAGTGATCTGCCCACCTCGGCCTCCCAAAGTGCTGAGATTACAGGTGTGAGCCACTGCACCTGGCCTTGAGGTTCATATTTTTACATATGGATATGCCAGCACCATTTGTTTAAAAAACTATCCCCATTGAACTACTTTTGTACCACTGTAAAAAAACACAACTATATATACAGGGGTCTATTTCTGGGGGTCTCTGTCCTCTTCCACTGATAAATAGGATCTATCATTTCACCACTAACACACTGTCTTAATTACTCTAGTTTTATCTGTCTTGAAATTAGGTGGGAGTTTTCCAACTTTGTTCTTTTTTCTTTTTTGAGATGGAGTCTTACTCTGTTGCCCAGCTGGAATGCAGTGGCGCGATCTTGGCTCACTGCAACCTCCGCCTCCCAGGTTCAAGTGATTCTCCTGCCTTAGCCTCCTGGGTAGCTAGGACTACAGGTGCATGCCACCACACCCAGCTAATTTTTGTATTTTTAGTAGATGGGTTTTCACCATGTTGGCCAGGATTGTCTCAGTCTCTTGACCTCGT